TGAGAGTGAGAGTGAGAGTGAGAGTGAGAGTGAGAGTGAGAGGTGAGAGTGAGAGTGAGAGTGAGAGTAAGTGAGAGTGAGAGTGAGAGTGAGAGTGAGAGAGTGAGTGTGAGAGTGTGAGGGTAAGAGTGTGAGAGCGAGAGTGAAAGTGTGAGAGTGAGTGTAAGAGAGAGGGAGAAGGAAGGAGGGAGGGAGGAGAGGAGCAAGAGCAGGAGAGGAGGAGAGGAGGAGGAGGAGAGAGGAGGAGGAGGAGGAGAGAGAGGAGGAGGAGGAGGAGAGGAGGGAGGAGGAGGGAGGAGGAGAGGAGGAGGAGGAAGGAGGAGGAGGAGGAGGAGGAGGAGGGAGGAGAGGAGAGGAGGAGGAGGAGGAGGAGGAGGAAGGAGGAGGAGGAGGAGAGCAGGAGGAGCAGGAGAGGAGCAGGAGGAGCAGGAGGAGCAGGAGGAGAGCAGGAGGAGGAGGAGTAAGAGGAAAGGAGGAGAGGGGAGTAAGAGGAAAGGCAGGAGGAGGAGAGTAAGAGGAGGGAGGGAGGAGGAGGAGGAGAGGAGAAAGGCAGGAGGAGGGGCAGGAGGAGGAGGAGGAGAGAGTAGGAAGGGCAAAGGGCAGGAGGAGGAGGAGGAGGAGGAGGGAGGAGGAAGGAGGAGGAGGAGGAGGAGGAGAGGGAGGAGGAGAGAGGAGGAGAGGAGGAGGAGCAGGCAGAGGAGTAGCAGGAGGAGGAGGAGAGGAGCAGGCAGGAGCAGCAGAGCAGGAGGAGAGGAGAAGGAGGAGGAGGAGGAGGAGGAGGAGGAGGAGGAGGAGGAGGAGAGGAGGAGGAGGAGGAGGAGGAGGAGGAGGAGAGGAGGAGCAGGAGCAGGAGAAAGGAGGAGGGCAGGAGGCAGGGAGGAGGAGGAAGGAGGAGGAGGAAGGGAGGAGGAGGAGGAGGAGGAGGAGGGAGGGAGGAGGAGGAGGAGGAGGAGGAGGAGGGAGAGCAGGAGGAGGAGGAGGAGGAGAGGGGAGGAGGAGGAGGAGGAGGAGGAGGAGGAGGAGGAGCAGGAGGCGTAGCAGGAGGAGGAGCAGGAGGCGTAGCAGGAGGAGGAGCATGAGCAAGGAGGAGGAGCAAGAGGAGCAGAGGAGCAGCGAGGAGGAGAGGAGGAGGAGGAGGAGGAGGAGGAGGAGGAGGAGGAGGAGGGAGGAGGAGGAGGAGGAGAGGAGAGGAGGAGGAGGAAGGAGGAGGAGGAGAGAGGAGAGGAGGAGAGGAGGGGAGGAGGAGAGGAGGAGGAAGAGGAGGAGGAGGAGAGAAGGAGGAGGAGGAGGAGGGAGGAGGAGGAGGAGGAGGAGGAGGAGGAGAGGAAGGAAGAGCAGGAGGAGGAGGAGGAGCAAGAGGAGGAGAAGCAGGAGAGGAGGAGGAGGAGAGGAGGAGAAGGAGGAGGAGGAGAGGAGGAGGAGGAGGAGGAGGAGGAGGAGGAGGAAGGAGGAGGAGGAGGAGGAGGAGGAGGAGGAGGAGGAGGAGGAGGAGGGGAGGAGGAGGAGGAGGAGGAGGAAGAAGAAGAAGAAGTCTACGAAGTAGACTAAGAAGAAGACTACAACAACAAAACTGAATCTATCAGTCTCATTTAGAGGATAAGTAAACTCAATTCACTAAAATTCAAATGAAATGCAATGCAATCTTATGATGAAATGGTTACAATTTTGTAAGCAGCTAAAAAGGAGTATGCAGACTCATTTTGGCAATTCTCATGAAAATCCCCTAGATCTAGCTAATTAATCAAGGTTAAAGAAATCTAAAGACAAATAACAATAAGGAAAACTCTAAGACAGAAAATATGACCTTATATTAAAAATTCATTAGAAAAATAATAATAATATCAAATAATCCTGACATGCAGGTCTTTATGTCTTGAGGAAAGCCTGTTCACAAAATGAAGCTTCACTCACTTGCTTGAGGGTCTCGACCTGCAGATGCTGATCGTGGTCGCTTGTCCTGCTTTGATCCACGCCTAGGTGTCATTTCCACAACTCTTTTGACCTCTCTATGCCGTATTGCTATTTATTTGGAAAAAGAAAGCATGTATTATAAAAACTGACTCATATCACTACAACTTTAAATTTTGGCTATCTTGTATACTCCCTATCACTATTCATAATCTAAAAATCTACCTATCTTGTATACTCCCTATCACTATACATAATCTAAAAATCTACCTATCTTGTATACTCTCTATCACTATTCATAATCTAAAAATCTACCTATATTGTATACTCCCTATCACTATTCATAATCTAAAAACCTAGCTATCTTGTATAGTCCCTATCACTATTCATAATCTAATAACCTAGAGTAACAAAATACAGAGTAACAGACAAAGGCAGAACATAAAGCGTAGTTCAGGATTTATTCTTGCCAACCGAAATACAAAATGTGTAACATATGTCCCAGTGTCTTGTCATTCAGTAAGCCAGAGAGATCTTACTGGGTAAATTTACTTTCTTGTCATTTCATGTGTGACTGTCAATCTGTCATGAAGATAATTATACTCAGCTGGTACTATTCATCATTATTGCTTCATCTAATTAGCTTTCCTTAAATGTTTACATTTACAGAAACAATTCAAGATTTGTTTCTATAACAGGAAACATGACTCTTGCCAGAATGGCACTATTAAGGTACTGTGAGAGCAACTGTTTGGTAACATATCTTTTTTATGATCTCAGTTAGAACTTACTTACTCTAATGGACCAGACTTGATATAAGTATACTGTAAGCAGACCATAAAACACAGCTTGTGTACGAAATCAGGGAAACAATTATAAATGGTTTAAAATATAAGAAAAAATGCCATGTACAAAAGAGAAAAAGGCTGTCTGAACAATTAACCCACTCAATACAATGCTAGCTATCCCCACTCTAAATTGTGTGAGCTAAGCTGCCATTAGCAACAGGCCCTTATATGTTGTCTCAAAGCCTTTTTTGTGCCTCATTCCCTAAAAAAAAAAATTATGCTTCAGTAAAGAGTATGGTGCACATTTTTGTTTCCCATGATTCACATTCTTCCTTCATTGTGTCATACACTTACCAGCATCAGGCTGAGGAGGGTCCTGTATGGGTAAGGAATATGCCACAAGGTTTCGTGCTTCTCGCCCTTCCTCCTGCAGGCGAGCCTTCACACGTTCTACTACCTCCTCCTGTTCAAGAGAATTGCACATGAGTTAAAAGATGTCCTGAAAAATTTCTTAAAGAAGCAAAGTAGTGATTAGAAATAATGTAACAATATGAAATGCACAGTTATTAGCATGTCCCTCATTTAGTAGTTATATAATCTTACAATGTAGTCGCCGATGAATAAGATGAAAATCTTTTCTAAACTAATGCATAAAGCTTTCAGAACTTGCCTGAGAATCTACATTTGGCTGGTCTTCATTCCCTCCCTTCATGATGATTTATGTTCCTTACATGTCACCTGGAAAAAAAAAAGAATCAATTAATATAAAATATAGATATATAAGCCTAGTCATGAAGAATGGAGTATCAGTCTCAATGTGCATCTCCCTCCCTATTCCTCCTTTCACTTTCCAGTTAGCAAAAGCATAAAGGAAGCAAAGTAGCTCATCCAAAAGAAGCTTCTTATGCTACTATTCTTACCATGCTCAACACAGAATTTTTATTTTGAAAATAAATATTTCACAAGAGACATTTACTTTGAATATACATATCACTTTTGTTCCTCCAAGCTCCCATGACTGGGCAAATTGTCTGAAGGAGGGGTTGATGGAAATTCCCCAGAAAAGTCTTCACCTTTGTATGCATGGCAAGATAGAGCTGAAACTAAGGAGCACAGAGTGGACTTCAGCTATTGAGCAGTGCTTTCTGCAATTTCTCTTTTTTTCTTTTTTTTTTCTTTTTTGAGGTCTTACTGTTCATGTCTGATCATTTCTTTTACCAATAACTCCATCTTTTCATCCTCTACACTATCAACTTCAATTAGCGCTAATTTAGTGCATCCACACTGTACAGATTAACCCTTTCTTCAAATATGGATGTGGATGTCAATTTTATTCATCTGATTTTGTTACCTTTCTGCATGTGTTCAGAGAAGTTATTAACCAAAGATACAATTTCATTGGTTGGGTCTGGCTACCCTGGTATGCTATACCGAAGTTTTTATCTTCTGTCTCTTCTTATCCAAGTACTTTCTTGTCCCAGTGTACATGGTAAGATCTTTGGCAATTGCCAAACTAAATGCATAATAATAATTAATTTGCCATTGCAGGCCAAAGTACAGATCATGGGATGTTTCAGGTAGACTTAAATGAAACACAACCACATCACCGTGGTAAAAAGTCATGTTCTGAAAGCCATTGTAGGTGTGTACTACAAATCTTATGGGTAATTTTATCATAACTACTGTCAGACATGATGTGATGAAAGTAGACAACTAATTTTCCATTTCCACATCACGGGAATTCTTGGAAATGAAAGATATTCTAGAAAACAATGAACGATACCTGATTTACACGTGAGTCATTCATCTTATTACTTGACAGTTCTCATCACAACTCCACGTGGACCTGCAAATCCATGAGAGGGATGAGGGGGGATGCTCCTTTGTGTATGAGGCAAGAGATGAGGTCATGAGGCACTCACTCACATCTCGCACTCAGGCGCCCCCTTCTCGCCATACAGCACTCACCTTATTCTCTTATTTATCTGTACTTGACAAGGGGACTGCTGTCGCTCTCATCACTCGTCTTCCAAAGCTGTGGAATCGTCAGTCGATAATTAACGAAAATAAAGTTAAATATTCTTTTATACGCAAATCCTTTTGCAAGCATAAAAGGACTATAGGACGGGTCCTTATATACGTATTATGTACTCTATACGTTGCAAGCATAAATGCATTAGTATATTTATGATGAGACATATTTCGTAAGTTACTAATGTTCATTAAAATGTATTAATTGCCGTCATGAAAGATACAAAATATATCATATCTAATCAATTATCAAGGTTTATATACCCATACCATAAGCCTGAATTAAACTTTACTTCCACTACGATGTCTATTGTTTTCATTGAGTCAACTGGATATAAACAACGTTGTTAGGCGTATAGACGTGTTTATCCTTATTTGTGATTGTGCAGTAATTGTTTTCGGGAATTATACATTTGTAAGTTAGATTTTGAAAAAAAAGTAAAATAAATGATGTAATTCCAATAGATGTCAAAAAACGCTTCATATCCTGAGCGAATAGAACAGTTGTAAATTATATCCTTGCTTATTTGACCGGCATCCGGCTAGCGATATCAGATTAGTGATATCAGATGAACTGTATGTGATATTTATGTAATGATATAATGGCTCAGAGCTTTTGCTAAACCACATATTAGACTGTAATGTGTAGAATATGTTGTATTGCAAGTATGATAGTATTAATGCAAGAATTATTGGCGTGACATTGTAACTGGCTTATTGAAAGGAATCAGTGATGGTAATTTTTTCTAATACATCCGCCCATCGAGTTGTGATAATTATGGTATAGTTGGATTTCTCTCACTTTCTAGTTTCCAAATATATAGAAATTATAGTACAGAAACCTGTTGAACTCCCACATTCTATGCTTCCTTAGCAGGGGAGGGCATGAAAGGTACCAGGGAAATTGTAGGGTGAAATATGAATAATATTGATGACCCCTACATGGGGAACTGCTACCTGCCCAGAAAAACAAAGAATCCTCCATGTATATATGGCAGGAGAGAGCTGTCCACTGCCTGCCCAATGCTCTCTCCTTCTGTGAATAAATGGAGGATTCTTTTTCTGTGTGGGGGTCCATGGGGAGTTGGAGGGGGCACAGCCTCATGCATTAAAGAATATAGCGTCTAATACGGTGTAGATTATACATGATTTACCCTGCAATTTCTCAGGTACCTTTCATGCCCTCCCCTGCTCATGGGGCCAAGCTTGTCACCTTTTTTTTTCTCTTTTTCTCTCTCTCTCTCTCTCTCTCTTTCTCTCTCTTTCTCTCTCTCTCTCTTCTCTCTTCTCTCTCTTCTCTTTCTCTCTCTCTCTCTCTCTCTCTCTCTCTCTCTCTCTCTCTCTCTCTCTCTCTCTCTCTCTCTCTCTTCTCTCTCTCTCTCTCTCTCTCTCTCTCTCTCTCTCTCTCTCTCTCTCTCTCTCTCTCTCTCTCTCTCTCTCCCCCTCTCTCTCCCCTCTCCCCCTCTCTCCCCCTCTCCCTCTCTCCCCCTCTCTCCCCCTCTCTCCCCTCTCCCCTCTCTCCCCTCTCTCTCTCCTCTCTCCCTCTCCCTCTCCTCTCTCTCTCTCTCTCTCTCTCTCTCTCTCTCTCTCTCTCTCTCTCTCTCCATTCTCCTTTCCCCCCATCCCCTCCTCCTCCTACTTTTTGTGCCTCTCCATGTCACCGTTTTACTGATTTACTATTCTTTGACCATTTCTCCCTCCCTCCCTCCATGGTCTTGCTCCATGTAACCTTCTTACTAATTTACTGTTCCTTAACTAATTACAGCATTAAAACCATCATGTGGGGTGAGTTTGAAGATGAGAGGAGAGACCAACCAACATCAACAACCCGTAAAACACTCCCCAAATCAGACGAAGCCTTACCCTCGGAGGATCTCAATCAAGTTGATGTGCCCGATGAAAGCCTTTCCTTAAAGGACAGAATAATACATCACTTGGCGGCTAGCAAAGTGGTACTCAAGAGTCAGCAGAGATATGAACCAGATTTTACCTACGAAGAGAGACGGAATATTGCCGAAACAATGTTAGATGAAAAGCCAGGGCAGTTCTTGTATCGGTGCGTATTTACAGATCACTTGAGAAATGTGTATAAGGTGATCTCTGAAATATATATATATTTATGCCTTCTGTCTTTATAATGGCAATTCTGTCACAAACTATTTTCCCCAGCTTTGGAAAGTTTCTCCAGAGAGAACACCTCACCTACTTTTTGAAGTATGAAGGAAACCCAGAGATAGATCATTACCTTACAGAAACCATGAAGAATTTGAATAAACATACATCCAAGTAAGTGAAGATTTAAATATATAGCTGTGTATTTAAATGTTGATAAAGACAAATAAAGTAATATCTTGAATGTTTTTGATTATTCTTTTCTGAGCTGATAGTTTTGCATTGGTATATGATACTTATTAACTTTACATAATTTTAGAACTGTTTGAAGAAAAATGTTTGGAGCAGCAAAAAATAATATTGAGAAAATGGTAAGCACATAATTATAACTCCATTAATAATCATCTGATCACTTATCATTTCTGCAGAATTACTGTCAAGAACAGACGATATGGGGCAATGCAGAGACTACGTAAGTCAGGAGATTACTTTAGTGAGAAGGAAATGGAGCGACGTAATCCTTTGCTTTATGATCACTTGATTGGCAAGCATATGACAGCAGAGGAAAGGAAAGAAAAATACACAGTAGAGAAATATGAAGCCAGGTAAGCAAAATCAAATTTCTTTGAATAATGAATAGTAGCTTTGTAGGTGATAGTTTGAAGTTATAACAGAGTATATCCAAATGTTCTGGAATATATAAAAATATATTGATATAAAAAAATATATAAACATGTGTATGTTAGAGAACTGTTGTTGTTTTCAATAAATTTAGGAATCATGAGATAGTTGCTATTTCACAGATGATTTATAATAGAGTTCCATTGCAGTTTTTCATCTGTGCTTCTCCATCATATTGATGCGCGAGACAAGAAAGACTTTAAGAAACGGCAAGAAGAAGAAGAGGATGATATGTTTGAAGAAGAGGAAGACGAAGATGAGGAGGAGGAGGAGGAGGAAGAAGAGGAAATGGACATGGAGACGCAAGTAGAATCAGGAGAGAAGCAATTACTGAAGGAAGAATTTTACTCTTCAGCATACCTCAACTTCTTGAATGGAAAAGATGAAGAATTTGACTATGGGTTAGTTAATGATTAGTTTACCCCCAAAAAATTACACAAACTAAAGTTGGCATATTCATTTACATTGTAATATTCACACATTTGCATTCATTCAAGAGACATTAAAATTTAACAAGATAGATATTACTAAACAAACACCAGATCTGTCTTAAAACCTAAATGTAAGCTTACTCTTACAAACATATAGATAAAAATAAATATTGGTAAAGATATAGATAAAGATTGAGATATAGATGTTTCACTCGGAAATATAACAAGTAATCCTCTTGCTTTTCAGGCAAGTTGACACTAGCGATGATTACGACCTTCTAGAAATACGAGCCAGGGATGATGAGGAAAGGTATTTTGATGATGATGATGATGAAGATGAAGAAGGCAGTAACAAAGATGAGATATGCCACAGTCTTGATGACGACAAGGACTTTCCCCCATTGCGTCAAAAACACAGACAAGATGGCCCCAAAATCACTGATGTTTCTGATAAACCCCCAGATGATGACATGACTTAAAATTCCATAAAGCTTCAATATCAACTTTCACCTTTCTCTTGGTATTTGTAAATTTGAAAAGAATATCTAAGTCAGTTTATTATATAGGGTTTTAATATCAATAGAAAATTAGGGAAAGTCACTGTTTTATTTATACTCCCTGGAAAAATAAATGTTACATGATCTGATGCCATGATAATAACTAATATTTATTGCCTGTCTGTCCTTGCACTTCATGCAACGTGAAAACAACGTGAAGTTCTCAATATTTCCTTTCAACTTGCTGATGAACAAAAAAAGAAAAGAAAAAATATATAAAATAATGATAGCATGAAGGTTCTCTTCTAGCTAACCAAGTCCTAGTTAATAATGTCAAGCAAAGAACAAGTAACTGAAACACATTTCAAGGTACTAAACCTGGAGACAATACTGTTCATCATAATTTCCATTCTAAAATATTTTGATATCCACATTTTAGAAAATGGATTGAATTACAGAAAGATAGAAAAAAAAATCACATTGCAAAGACATTACAAAGTATCGTCAAAACACAAAATAAATATCTTTTCATAGAAATATGCAAATTCATTTCCATCTTTAAAAAGAATTACCATCTGAATAAAACCACCCAATTTACACGATATCATAGACAACTGACAATTGCTAATACGTGGTTGTTATTCATACAAGTGCCATTTCACAGTTCTTTTCATCTTTAGGCTGTATACTTCAAGCATCTGGTATCTTCATGAGTGGAAAGACATTTTGTGCAGCAGTATCGTGATCCACATGGAATGCAGGTGTAGGGAGCTGGAAAACCACACACAGCACAAAGTTTACGTTCAGGAAGTTTTGAAGCGGGTGCTTGCACTGTTAGGTAGTTGGGTCCATCTGGATAAAGAGACTGCTCTTCCTCCAGCAAGATAGGGAAGTTCTTACGAAACCTGGAAAGGAAAGTAATAACATAATTGCAAAACATAGATAGGAAACCTTACATAATATTACATAAAACAAGCTTCCTTGTGTTTAACCATTCTGCACTGTGTTATTTTTGAAGCACAGACTTTTCTTGCATAACCAGACAAAAGTCAGTGAGATAATACTTCTCAACTATAACAGAACCAACTCAACACCATTTTGTTCAAAGGAGGGAAGGAGGGAGGGGAGGGGAGGAACAGAGAGATGGAGAGGGGGGGGGGGGGGCAGGAAACAGAGGGAGAGAGGGGGGAGGAACAGAGATAGGGAGAGGGGGAGGAACAGAGAGAGGAGAGGGGGAGGAACAGAGAGAGGGAGAGGGGGGGAGGAACAGAGAACAGAGAGAGGAGAGGGGGGGGTGGAACAGAGAGGGAGAGGGGATGTACAGAGAGAGGTAGAGGGGAAGGAACAGAGAAAGGGAGGGGGGAGGAACAGAGAGGGAGAGAGGGGAGGACCAGAGAGAGGAGAGGGGGAGGAACAGAGAGAGGAGGATCGATGGAGAGAGGAGGGACATTTAAGATTAGATAATCCATTTTAGTTTTATTTTATGAAGAGGAGTCTAGGTCAATTTCAAGAGTCCAGTTTACTTTCAAATGTCTGGATTTATAACTCACTT